GCCGAGAGCCTGCCGCAGCTCGGGGAGACAAAACTGGTGGCGCTCTCAACCTTTCACCTTGTCACGGTGGTTGCCTTGAGTGCCCCGATGGGTCCAGCTTCTGCTTTGCCATGTTCGTTATCCTTGAGGGCCGGCTCGTACATGCGGCGCAGCGTGGTCGCGGGCAGCACCGTGCCGCTCCTGTGCCTCAGGCCGGTCGTCAGCCACCACTCCTCGAGGCCTTGCGCCGCAGATGTCGGACGACATGTGGCCGTGTCCGTAGACCTCCTTGGTCACCAGCCTCATGCCTTGCAGCTCCTGCAGGGAGAGCCCGCTGACCTCCCCGCCCCACGTCTTCAGAGGGCAGGATGGCGAAGGTGCAGCGTGCGCCTCGCCTTTTTTGCAGGCCTCCCTCGCTCGGTACGCCGTTCTGCGTCGCTGCTTGACCGCCTTCCACCGCTTGCCTCTCTGGGGCCCGGGGTTGGAGGCTGCGCTGTGCCGTCTGCGTCCAGCTCCGAGGTCGGCCCCCCGGGCGGCAGGCCGTGGCCGGCCGCGCTGGTGCCCTCTGGGAGCTCTGAAGTCTTAGCCCCCCCGCGCCCCCTGCCGCGGGGTCGCGCGTGCTCTGCCTGTTGGCCCGCCAGGCCCGCCCAGCCTGCGCATGCCCTCCTCGGTGGTGGCGCCGCTGTTCCCGAGGATGGCCCCCCTGGCGTCGGCGACCTGCACCTTGAGCTCCCCGCGTAGTGCGCCCTTGAGGCCGCGCGCCGCCTCGACCATGAGGTCCACGCACTTGCTCCCAGTGTCGGCTACCACCTCCTGGCTGATGTCGTCGATGTTGACGGCGATCCCCACCCCTGGGTGCGCCATGGCTTAGGCACGCAGCTCGTCCACGAGGTAGGGCTTCAGGGCGTACGTGGCCGAGAAGCACCCCGCGACAATGCCATTCTCGAGGTGCACGCTGTTCCCCGCCAGGCCGTCGAGCATGAGGATGCGCCTCCACCTCGAGGTGCCAATGGTGACCCTGAGGATGTGGAGGGGGAAGCGCTCATGGCACTAGAGGCGGTGCAAGATGTCGTGCGAGACCTTCTCGAAGGCCTTCGCCACGGCCACAGCAAGATGAGAAAGGCCTTCTCCTCCCCCGTGGCGCCCTCTGCCCGCGCTGCTGCCCGCCAGACGCAGTCCGTGACTTGATGGAGGTGCCTGTGTTGAAGGTCCTTCGTTCATAAAGGAAACGCTGCCAGCTCTGAAAGGCAGGCTATTGGCAACGCCCCCCATACGCGGTACAGGCTCTTGAGCTGGCCTACAGGGCGCCGTCCACCTGTGGGCTTGATGTACGGGCGTGCCGGAGGGCCAGCCAGCCTTCCGAAGGGTGGAGATGGTCTGCTCGAGGCTGGCGGTCTCGATGCCGCTCTCGGCGACGCCGGGATCCACGGCTGCTGCTCCCTCGGTGGCGGCAGCCGTGGACCCCGACGCCGTCGAGAACGCCGCGCTGCATGACCTCGGGCGACCTCCTGGGCCCACCTGGCCGTGGGCCCGCCGCTGCCAACCCCCATCGCTGAGGCGCTCCAGCGCGGCCGAGATGTCGAAGCATGAGCTCGGCCACTGTCTTGGCGGGAGCCGGCGGGCCGGCGTGGTCTCGACTCGGGTCGGGCTGCCAGCGGTCCTGGCTCGGTCTGGCGCGCCACTGCCGCAGGAAGCACACACCACGCGATTGGCCCACGGCCCTTCTTGACAGCAACCTGGGCAGCGCCAGAGGGGCTCCCTGTGGCCAAGGAGAACCTTGCGGCCAGGCCCTTGCGGCCAGGCTCGGGGCCTGCAGAGCCATCACCGCCAGGGTCCCTGCGCGCCATGCCAGCAGCCTCCTCGCGGAGACCACGGTGCTCGCCGTGGTGCTCCGCAAAGGCCGCGCGGGCCTCCAACACGCGGAGGAGCAGGCGGGCGCCTGCCCGTTGCTTCTGCTGTCGGCGGTGCCACGCGGGCGAGCGGCTATGGCGGCACCCAAGCGTTTGGGTATCACTGGTACCGCCGCCCTGGGCAGGGCCGGCGGCGACTAGGATTTTGCAAAATCGGGCCGCCCCGGCAGCCCGAGCGCGAAGCAACTGGAAGGAAGTAACAGTGGCTGGAGGAGGGAAGAGGCTGGAGGCTGGAGGAGGAGGAGAAGGAGGAGGGGGAGGAGGAGGAGGAGGAGGAAGGAGGAGGAGGAGGAGGGGGAGGAAGGAGGAGGAGGGGGAGGAAGGAGCAGGCCGGAGGCGGAATCGGGGGCGGCCAAGAGCGGGGTGATGGCCAGGAGGGGATTGTAGCTCGAGCAGGTGGGGTGTCGGATACAGCTCGAGCGAGCGGGGCGGGGCGTCGGATACAACGGCCGCCGCTGCGCGTAGTGCCCGTCCGGGGCCGCGCGGCGGAGCGTCGACGGGGCTTCCTCTTGAGTGAAAGCGGGTCCCGCGAGGAGACAAACGGACGTTCCACGCAAGTGCGCAACCAGGGGCGAATGCGCGGTCTGCGCGGCGCCACTGCCGGCGTGCCCCACGCGAGGGCGCGGCCTGAGACACGGGGTTTCCTTATCAGCACCAGGCTGCTTCGATGAGGGGTGGGGCCTCCGATGCCACTGGCTGCTCCCCTTCTTCCAAGACGCCACTTGGCCAGAGGGAGGAGGCTGGAGGCAGGAGGGGGGCCCAGTCGGGAGAACGGGTAGGGATGGGGAATCCAGCTGGATTTTTTGTCCTTCATTCCATGAGCCAGTCAGAGCGATTTGTCTCGAACCCCAGCTCTACCCCTATCTTACTGTTGCTGTAGATTCGCGCCGTGCCGACCCACGGCGACCCCGCCGGTGGCGTCAAAGGTTTAACGCCGCTAGCAAACCAGAATCGGTCGATGTTGAACTATCTGACGATTCGGGAACGGCCGACCGTTCAAGGTTGAACGATCCCCGCGGTGTCAGCGACCAATGCTGGGGTTGACACGACACGAGCCCGCGGTGTGTCCCGCCGAAGAGACAGAATCCGTTGGACTTCGCTCGAGCCGCTGGCCAGGGCCTGGCGCCATCGATCCCCGAGGCGTGAGTGCGACGCTCGCGGGGCAAGCTTGGTGCCAGCGGTGTCAGTCACCACCCACCAACCCACCCGATCCCAACCCGAAGGTCCCGATTTGCCCTCAATTTCCAGTGGGGGGGGGTCGGGGAACATTGAGAAAACACATATGGAACCCGTACCCCCCCAACCCGAAATTCGGGTCTTCGGGTTGGGTTGGGGTGGTCTGGTAGGTAGTCAGTCAGAGTTCCAATCATTTGATAGCCAATCATGGAAGCTGTTGTATGTCCTCAATTCCATTTCGCGAGTGCACTAGCGCACGCTAGCGTCAAGCAGCCGATGAGAAAGTGCCAATGTAGCATCGATTCGCGTTGATTCGCAAGAACCAGCAAGATGGCATGAGAGGCTTCCATGAGCTGCCACCGAAAATCATTCTCGGCAGCGCGCCGAGGGGGAAGTAAGAGGGGGCAGGCACGCTCAGGCGACGACCAGAAGCCCTCGGGCCTTTTGAGGTGCCTCCTGTCAGTTCGGAGAAGTCTTAGAAAGCTGCTCAGAAGGCTGGAGACCTTAGCCTTCTGAGAAGGCCCGCCCCCTCTGCCTTCCCCCCTGGGCGCGCCACCGTCAGCAGGCAAGCAGGGCGATCCCAGCAAGGAGTGCCCTCTGCGCCATGTGCACCGAAGGCTGGGACGTGCGGGATGGAGGTGCCGATTTCAAGAGTTGAGGGCGTCAGGCCGGGTTGGCCCGAGCGAGGCCATGGGTTATGTAGGACACACGTGGTAGAATACATCCCAGGAAAGGTAGCAACGCAATGGTCAAGAGAGGTGAGCCTCGGGTGGTGTTGCGAGAGAAATTGGCATTGCACAGTGATCATGGACATTGCGCGCAGGGAGTCACATTGAGATCAAGGCTAAGTGCATTGTATGTACAGGTGTGGGTAATCCTAGGACGAACTCAGTAAACCCCCGCCCCTTTCCTCCTCCCCCCGCCCGCACCCGTTCATCAGAGGAAATTGGAACGCTTCCGGCACCGAGGCTAGGGCGCCAGTAATGTCTCCCGCAGAGGCCCGCGACCCACGGTCCCTTGGGCGGGCCATTTGGAGCAGGAGGAGGGTCTCGACGACGGGCTTCCCGTGGATCCCCGGCGATCCCCTCGCCAGGCGCTCGGAGCTGGGGATCCTGCCCGGATGGGTGGAGGGGGGGATCGCATCAGCTTCGAAGCGCCTGAAGGAGTTTCAAGGAGCATGTCGGCAGTAGGAGAAGGATGAGGGGGAGGAGGAGGAGGAGGAGGAGGAGGAGGAGGAGGAGGAGGAGGAGGAGGAGGAGGAGGAGGAGGAGGAGAGGAGGAGGAGGAGGAGGAGGAGGAGGAGGAGGAGGAGGAGGAGGAGGAGGAGGGAGGAGGAGAAGGAGGAGGAGGGAGGAGGAGGAGAAAGAAGTGGGCGCAGTGGGCGCTCGCAGCCCGCGCGCCCGCACGGGCGTCCCGCCCGAGCTGCTGCTCCCTCCCGTGGCCTCTCCCGTCTGGGTTCGGCCCGGGGCTGGCCGCCGGGCTGCCCTGAGTGGCCCGGCGGGGGGCACTCGGACGCTGCTGGGGAGTTGCGCAGCAGTGGGTGGGGGGGCGACGAACGAGGCATTCAAGAGAGGGCCTCGCCATCGAGGTTCGAAGGAATGGATATCTCTCCCCTCGGCGGAAGCCGGCGGAAGTAAGCCGAGGCCGCCTCCGCCGGCGGAAGTTCGGCGGGAGCCGGCGGAAATGCGAATCGACCCCCGAAGAGATGACCAGGCTTTTTGGTTCAGGCCTTTTGGAACCCGCCAAATGTTGGGGTGAAGGGGCCCTATAAAGGGCCCCCCCCCTTTGGCCCAATTGGGACACGAAAGGTACACTTTTCCCCCCCACCCCCCCACCCTCCCTTTTGTGTCGCCCTCCATGAAGCAACGCTTGAGTTGCGCGAGCAGCGCCGCTGCCCGGAGACCCCCGTCGGAAGGGGCGCGAGCGGACGCGCAGGTTGTCCTGCAGCCGCACGTGTACGTTCCCAACGACGACTCCAGGGACAAGCCGCCCCCCCAACCCTTCCTCTTGGCCTCGCGCGGGTCAGGGGTCAGGGTGGTCCCTGCTCTCCAGCAGCACAGGGGGCGGGCCTGCTGCAGTAACCGAGCCCCCCGGATAAAAATATACCCAGTTGATTGTGGAGAGGGCGGGGAGGCCGAACTGAACTTGATAATCCCTGGAGGAAGTTGCGAATCGAAGTTTCTATCATCTGATGTTGACTAGCAACAGCAAAAACGCTGAGCATGGCAATGATGGTCTCACCATTTCAGCTTCCGCAATCACGAGCGTGTGGCAGGGCTATGGGATTCTCACCGTTTCAGCCTTCAAGTCACGAACGTGCGGCAGGGCCATGGGATTCTCACTGTCTTGCACAGGCAAGTTGTAGCCACGAGCCTCGAGATCTCTCGAGTCAGTCTTGTGCGAAGTCAGGTTACACGAGCGCCCAGGAACATCATCATCATCATCATCATCACCATCATCATCATCATCACCATCACCATCATCATCATAATCGTCATCATCATCATCGTCATCACCACCACGCTCGTCGTCATCATCATCGTCATCATCATCATCATCATCATCATCACCATCGTCATCATCATCATCATCATCATCATCATCATCAGCAGCATCATGACATCACCTTCGCCGGCAAAATCGTTGATTATCCCCGCCAGACCCACGAACTTCATTATCCCCTGGGAATTATTATCTGGGCCACAGGGTTAGGCTTTTGTAACGGGGCCGCCCCTGGCCCCATGTGTATTCATGAGCTCGCTGTGCCGATGAGCGCCTCGAGTGTCTCGCCGCGGTGGGAACGGCGGGACATTGCGCCAGGAGTTCCATCTCGCTGGCTGCTTCAGCACACGTGGCCTCTCCCCCCCCTGGATTCAGTGGCGACAGGGATTCGCAGGGACATGTTGACGCCGATGGATGTGCGAGCTGTCGGGTCCATCTGAGGCATCTTTGGGGTCTCGGGGGGGCCTCTTCGAGGCTTCTTGGAGGCCTCTCTGGGGGTCTCTTGGGACTATCTGTCGGGGGATGGCTTTCACGGCCTGTTCGGTTTCCCTCTCTCATGTCCGCCTTGGGGCCTTCCTGGGGGCCTCTTGGAAACCTCTGGGACCATCTTGGGGGCCTCATTGGCCGTCCTTGCGTCCTCTGGGACCGTCCCGGGAACGTCGTCCTGGGGCCATCCTGGGCGGGCTTGGGGTGATCTTCGGGGCCTCTTTGGGCCGTCTCTTGAGCGTCATCAGGCTCGAAAGCGCGGGACCGCCAAAATCGTTCAAGCAGTTTATCCGTGAGGGCTTCGCCCCTTGCTGAGGGCCCCCATCCCTATCATAATGGGATGTATCAGAGTCGCGTCGGTGCGTCTCGGCGCTGCCTTGGCGCATCTGGGAACATCATGTTGAGGCGGATCGGAATCATCAGCGCATATTGAAACGTTGCCGTTATCGAAGACGCCTACGGCGAATCACAGCCGCCCCCTGCCTTATTGGAAGCGCCTGCGGGGCCACGCGTTCCCCGAGTGGGTTTCGAAAGCCTTCGGGGAACACGGAGTCGGGCGAGCTATCGGACCAGGTGGTTTCCGAGCTTTCGGGCCTTCTGGAGGACGTCTTGGAGGGGTCCTGGGCCGTCTTGGAGGCCTCTTGCTGGCCTTTTGGGCAGTCCAAGGCCATCTTCAGGCCATCTGGGGCCGTCTTGGGTGCATCTTGGGGCCATCTTCGCTGCCTTGGAGGCCTTCTTGGCCGTCTAAGGGGCATTTTGGAGGCCGTCTTGGAGGCCATCTTCGGCGTCTTCGGGGCCATCTTGAGCCGTCTTGGGCTCTTCGTGGGGCCCTCTTGGGGGCCTCTTGGGCTGTCATGGGGCCATCTTGGAAGCCTCTTGGGCGCTCTTGGGACGATGTTGGGGGGCCTCTTGGGCCGTCTTGGGCCGTCGGAGAGCTGATAAGAAGAACATGCCAACATCCTTCAAAATTTTGTTCGCCCTTTCGGGCCTTCCTGGAGGACGTCTTGGACCGCTCTTGGGCCGTCTTGGCGGTCTCTTCTGGGCCTTTTGGGCCGTCTTAGACCTTCTTGAGCCTATTTGGGGCCGTCTTGGGTGCATCTTGGGACCATCGTGGCCGTCTTGTAGGCCATCTTGGCCGCCTTCGAGGCATCTTGGAGGCCATCTTGGGCCATCAGGGCGGTTTTGAAAGCAATCTTGAGCCGTCTTGGGAGAGTTTTTGGGAGAATCATGCGCCCTTCGGGTGGCCGGCGGGACGGGCCGAAGTCCCAGGGGGGCTCTGGAAAAAGAACCAAAACCAACATCGAAAGGATACAGCACGCCAGGTACCCCTGTCCTGCCTTTTTGGAAACGCTTGTGTGGCCGAGAGTTGGGCTAGAGCTTGGCCAAGCTGTCGGACCATGTGTTCCCCGAGACGGTTTGGACATCTTTCGGGGAACACGTGGAGGAGATTGAACATGAAGAGGAAGAGGGAGAGGCCTCTTGGGCCGTCCTGATCCGTCGGAATGGCGAGAAGAAACACATGCCAACATCCTTCAAACACTTAGGGAAAATGAATGATGCTGGTCTCTTCGGGCCCTCCTGGAGGATCTCTTGGAGGCCTCTTGGGCCGTCTTGGAGGCCTCTTGGGGGCCTCTTGGGCTGTCTTGGGCAATATTGACGCTATGTTAGGCAGTCTTGAAGGTATCTTGGGCCATCTTGGAGGCATCTTGGGGGGCGAAGCTATCGGACCACGTGTTCCCCGAGTCGGTTCGGAAAACCTTCGGGGAACACGTGGGGGAGGACGAGGAAGAGGAGGAGAAATGGGGAAAAGGAGACGGGGGAGGATGCCTCTCCGGAGCCTCTTGAGGCACTCTTGGGCTCGATTGGGCCATCTTGGGACCATCTTGAGCTTAGTGCTGGCGAGATTTGCGATGCCTGACGGTTCCGACGTGGTGGTGGCACATTCCACGCCATGAGGCACGATTGTGTTCAGACAAGTCTTGCCTTTCTCTGCCAGCGTTGTGGTGCGTATCAGGTGGGGGCGGGCAGTGCTAAGAATTTGCGAGCAGCTTGCAAGGGGTTGCCCAAGTCCAAGCGTGTTCGGAGAATTCTGGCTGACCGGCATCGCCTTTCCAATGTGGCTTTCGCCACGGTAAACTTTACGGTCAGGTGCCGCTGGAGGCAAGTAACCGTCAGGGTTGTCCAGTGTCTCGTTTTTTCTTTGCGCTGGCGTCTGATAGCTTGTTGCGGATGATGGAGATCCGGTGCCCGACGGCCACAACCCGTGCCTTTGCGGACGACGCTGCCATGGCATTGCGATCGTGGAGACGAGATCACAAAAAAGTAAAAGTGTTCGCCACCTTCAGGACCTTCGAGAAAGCTTCCAACATGGACCTGAACCTGGCTAAGACGGTGGTTACCCCTCTGTGGGAAGAAGATATCGAACTCTTGCGGGACGCTGCCAGGACGGACGCACATGCAATACCTGTGCATCGGGACACCGCTGGGAAGTATTTGGGCTTCTACGTCGGTCCAGGCAAAGGTACAACATCTTTGGGTAAGCCTTTGCTAAAGTACGAGGCTCGCTTGCGGAACTGGAACTGGGGCGAGCTGGGGCTCAACATGGCAATGGTGGCATACAGTGTATACGTCCTACCCACTCTCCTCTTCGCGGCTCAGCTCGAGGTACTGCCAGAGCACGCGATCGCCATGGAATGTGTGGCTGTCCGTCGCGTGGCCCCAGGGCCTGGTGCTTGGTGCTGTCCACTTGACCTCCATAACGGACAAGAGTTGAGACCGGTTACGAGATTACGTCCTCTGGAGATATTCTGCCAGGCCGCCACGTTGCGCATGCGTGCTTGGGAAGGACGGAGCGACGGGGGCGTCGATTGGGAGGGCATGAGGTCGTCTCTACAATCAGCGCGAACCAACACGGCGGTCAGGGCCGCCCGTTGGCACCAATGGGTCGGGAAGCACATCCCATCGACAGTATTGGACATGGTTGACACGCAGCGCGCGCGAGGCGTGAATTTCAGGGCTGCGAGGGGTGACCTTTGCAATATCGGAAACTCACACAGCGTTGGTCCGTCGGGCGTCTGCAGGCGAGGGACGGCTTCAGTCTTGAATGGCGCTTGCGGCGCCGGCTGCAGCGCTGGTGGTTTTACGGATTACCCAGGCCGCACAGCACGGCGCGTAGCTACTCAGCTTGGCCGCCTGCGAAAGCTGGCGCCGCCAAGGCTCCGCGCGGCCACCCTCAGCACTATTATCAACAGATGGGCGACGGACCGCAGGATGTGGCATGTTCGCCGCGCCCGCCGAAAATGTGTATTTGATGCTGCGATGAGGCGGATGTCGCGGTAGAAACTACGTCAAGTGTCCCGCGCGGCGTTCTTGGCGACGCTCTCCCTATTGGGGAAACGCTCTGGGGTCACGACCTTCAACGCGCCATGATGGCAACGACCATGGACGACACGACCCTTCGACTGCAGGCCGTGGCGACTTACATGTTATATCGCTTTGTCCACCACGTGCGACGGCTCACTGGCGCAACTGGTTCCGCACGGAAACTATACGTCAAGCGGTACATGGACCAAATGCTGCACGAGACCACGCGCGACGACGGGAAGTTGCGGCATTGCTGTCGATTGGGCGCGAGGGGCAGCGCCAGGCGGCGGAGACGAGCCGCCAACGATGCTAATCGCCGGTTGGCTGCACGATTACGGTAGGCGGCGGGGACGAGCCGACAACGATGCTACTCGCCGGTCGGCTGCGCGATTGCGGTGATCGGTTTGTGCGTTCTCCTCCTTCCACTGTTTCTTCTCCTGGGGTTCCGACGACTACCCGGGCGACTTCAACTGCCATTTCCCATCTTCCCGACTTCGACTGCCATTTCCCATTTCCCAGATTTTCGTGTCTCCGATTCCGGTTCTCGTGTCTCCGACGCCGGTTCTCATTGTCCCGGCTCCAGCTCCGACGCCCGCCCCCAGTCTTCCGGCTAATTTTCCGACTCCGGCTCCGA